AAGAGACAATCAGTTAAAACTTGCAGGATGGGGTTCCTGTCACGTTATGCTCTGGAAAAACATATTATTTTATAAAGCAATTGCTTAAAAGAAAGACTTAACATGTTCTTTGCACTTGCCCCGCAAATGAAATTCTGACTCCACATATTTTACCAGCAGTTAAGTTGAAGCACGTTAAAAAACTGGGGACCAAAATCATCCTTTTCGGCCCATGCATCGCACAAAGGTAGCCCCATGCTTGTGCAAAATGCATGTGTTTTGGTGCAGAGTTTCCCTGCAGACAATCAGGAAGGTGCTTCCTCACCAGTCTCCCATGCACTGCTGCTCAGAGCATGTTTCATCTGTTTACAGTGTCAGGGATACCTTGGTACAACACACCCACCTCTGGGCTGCCACAGACAGAAGATCAAGCTTGCTGTGTCTGTCCACCACACACCTCTGCTTCCACCACACACCTCTGCTTCCACCACAACCAGCCTGTTCTGTGTGTAGGCCAACACATGGGCTAAGTTGCATCACCTCATTTTCTGAGGGTTGATGAGGAACAGAATGGGTTGGTGCCCAACAAAACACTTCCAACTTAAACTAAAGAACTGAGCAGGAGTGTCTGACATCAAGAGAGTCTGAACTGATAAGGACACTGGCATTTATGGTCTGTTGCCAATAATGGTCTGAGAACTGGTTAGCACACAATTTACAACCACTTGAAATTCAGGCTAACCTTATTTGGGAGAAAAGCGTGTCTTGTTTTGCCTGGTAAAAAACACAGTGAGATTTGATGACAACTATTTGCACTGCGGTATGGGCAGGCAACCAGCTTACCAGTGCTGTGCTTTGCCTGGAAACCTTTTCTTTGCACAGAAGCATCAGAGTAAAACCTAAGGAACATCTTGTTGGCAGAAGCCACTACAGGGTCTGGTTTCTTGCTGCCACAGAAGCGGCCAAGGATAGGTGACTTGCTGTTGGGCCCGTCATACATTTCCAAGTGGTCATAGGCACATTCTTGGTGCTGTTCAATCTCAAACTCATTGAAGGTCTACAGCAAGAATAAGAGTTAAGACAGTCATTTGTAAATCTGAAGATGCAATTTAGCAGAGGACAAAATGCCAAGTGAGAAACAGTTCAAATGGTATGCCTGTCCCACTCCTCCCACAAACTAGAACAGAACAGTGTGCTTCCACGTAAGAGTGATCTCAGGGTGGAAAAACTCAGAAGTTCATATGAACGTGCCATGTAGCCTTAGCTTTGCTGCCTCACATGGGTGCATGACAACAGTTTTCAAGTGCAAGCCTTATATACTGTTTTCCTGCCAGAACACTGCGTGGCACACCGAATTGGCAGTTCTTCAATACTGCTTCCACTTGAGCACAGGGATCCAGGCATTATTTCCCCCAGTGGATGGCCCATCTGCACAGCTTTGGGTATATCCTGCCATACGCATCAGGCCACGCCGTAAAATGGGCCTGACACCTCTCCCTCACAGGGGCTGGGGACTGGCCCTGCCACCACCTTATGCAGTGATAGTCCCAACAGAGTGGGTTACAAGGAGGTGTAGGGGCAGGAGGTCATGTTATACCTTCTGTTAACAGAGAGAGGAATGCTCCTCAGTGGCCATCTGCTGGAGTCCCCTCCAAGCTGCCTAAGCCCTGCCTTGTGTCCCTCTGAGACCTTCTGCAAGCCAGGGGCAGCCTCACAGGACTCCCTCCTCCAACCGCTCCACACAGGATGTATGCGGCTCAACCTCCCACTCAAATAGTGGTGGGGGAAAGTCACTTCAGCTCCTCACAATCCAGCCTGCTCCTCCCCTCGCGCTCCCATTCACTGGTTACTCAC